TATTTATACAAATGAATGTTAAATGTATTTTCTTATTTCTCACTGTCTTGCAGATGTAGTTGTAAAATAAAAAACAGAGGACATGGATAAGGAGAGACTTTATTTGAAAAGTTGATTGCAAGAGCGCAGAAAAGGGACTCTGGCAGTAGGGAGAGGGGTTATTACAAAAGGGAGAACACACTGACCATGAGAACTGTAAGTTATATCTCAGAAGTAAGGCAGAAAAGGGCATTTCTTTCATGGGTGAAGTGAAAGAGGCCAGTACAGTGTGTGGAAGTGAGATGAATGGGCAATGGTGGCAGGATGGGAAGGTGACCAGAGAACACTACCCTGAGCTTAGCCTGTTTTCCAAAGGGGCCTTCGGATAGAGCTTGTCTGCTGGTTCAGATCAAAGATGAATCAGAGTTCAGGAGTCTGGAGAAAGGAGAGAAGTGGAACTAAAGTTTAACTCAGGAGATAGATAGGTCTTTTTCTGATTGATGAGTGGAAACGAATAGTTCAGCTAATTTTTAAGGGTGAAAACAATGGGAATTCAGAGGGTTTGTGTCTGTTCTTGCTGTAGGTATTTAAAGGATCATCTGTGAGCCTTATCTAAGTCATGTGGATAAGAGTGGTCCTTTGCAAGAATCACTTTCCAGAAACATGAAAGGATGGGGAGATATTTTAATCTTTACAATGACTCTGAAATGTAATGACTTTTATAAGCCACACCTGGTAAATGTGAAGCTGAAGACTAGAGATGCTAAGAAACCACTGTGTTCACATTGCTGATAAAATGGGGCACTGTGTAATGACACTTCTTCAGAACCCATAGCAAGTAGGACATCGGAGGTGTTGTGGGACTAAGGGCAAATATGAAAACTATGCCACCTTTGTTGTTTATTGTTTATATCATCCAGAAAGTCCAAAATACATACTCAGTCTATCTGTTGCTTAGGGCTTTTCTTTTTGTGAGTACTAACTGTGGCTACCTTGAAGGGTTTTTTGTTGTTGTTGTTTTGTTTTGTTTTGTTTTGTATTTTTCTAAAAAAGCCCTACATTAGGGTATCTTATAGAATGCATGGAGGAAACTGAGCAGACAGTAGTAACGGCTTTATGCCCAAGAAATTGTCTGTGGCTATTCCCTCTAGCAGTATTTCTTACCTGGGCCACAATCGACATTTTAAACAGGACACTTTTGTGAAGGGCAGGACCATCTGTTTCTGATGTGTCTATTATAGGCCTTTGCCCCCAAGTCCCAATAGTGACCCTAGTCATTGTGACAACCAAATAAACATGCTAAATATTTCCAAACGCCCCACAGGGAGGTGATGCAACATCTGCAGCTTGAGAACCTGATGGAGCAACCAAACATATTACCATTATTGTGACTTAGCTCTAAGGACATTCGGTATCCACATAATTAGTTCTAAACTTCAGAATCCCTTGACTTCCAGTCAAAGGCCAATTTCTTGCCTGATCGGGATGGCCTGGGCCAGGTCATGCCATTTTCAGTGTGGTGGCTCTCTTGGTAGTCTGTGGCTCCCTTACTATCGTTTCTGAAGGGGATATAGTTCCAGAGAAGGCAGGTCTTGTTCTGATAATATATATATATATATATATATATATATCCACAATGGTTAAATTCATCTATATATTACTGACTAATTTGGCGTGAAGTATACACAATCTGCTGGCTACTCTCGTAGGTGATTTTCATATACTTTCTTATTTAATTCAGTCAGCCTTCACCCACAGTAGGTGGTAAGATCTGTAAGACACCGAAGAAGTGGCTGCTATGTGAGTTTGTAAAGCATCTTGCCAAGGTGAACAGTTTCCCCCTGCTGATTTTCTATTGAGAAGCAAGAAGTAGTCTTGAATTACCTTAATTATAGCAAGACTTAAAAATTGTGTGAAATTCCTAATAATTTTTTGTTCAAAATGTATATATTGAGTGTCTTAGATGAAAAGTCTAAGACTCAGGAGGGTTGATTTGACTTGGGAGATAGACTTAACTTGACTGGGGAGATACATGGTTAACAGTGTTGAGAGGAAAAATAAGGGAAAATAAATGTTTCTGATTGTCACATTATTCATTTATGTACTTTTTGTGAACAAAAGACTAACAGAAGTTAAGTGGAAACATGAAACCCCTAAAGGCATATAAAAGTCACATAAAATGCTTTTCCTTTTTAACCTAGAATGCTATCAAGTGACCTGCAATAAATCATATCCCTCTGTGGACTTTAGATTCTTCCGTATAAAATTAGATGTTTGAATTGGATGATTTCTAAAGCCTCTTAATTTTTATTACTTAGGAAATGTTTGACCACTTAAGATACAAGATGAATATGACTATTTGACTATCAACATTTATTTTTGCTCCATTTTTGAAACCTATTAAATATAAATGAAATAAAAAAGGCATAAATTTATGAAGATCAAAAGAATGGGAGTATGAGACAATAATAGGCAAGTGATGTCTGTAAAATTTTGGTGCTTGCAAAATAAGTGGATAAATGGTAATGGAGACCAGAGAAAGCAGAACCCTGAGCTGGCAGGTGGAGAAGAATTCAACCAGAAACATGTTCATTACTGTGGGAAAGCTTGAGAGCGCTCAGGAATTGTAGGTAGCAAACACTGTAAAGGTGGATTTATGGAGTACAATTGACAAGAGCAGACTTGGTCGCAAAGTATAAGAAATAGTTAGATCACAAGATGTTCTCATCTTATAAAACCAGTCATCTGCCCTTCCACACTCGAAAGAAAAAACAGAGGTTTCCTGAAGAGGTTGAATTGGAGCACTGTGAGGCTCTAAGACACAGACAGATACAACTGAGGTTGAGGGTGAGATGTCACATGAAAATGGGGGAATTGTTTCCTTTAAATAAAAGTGTGTGTCCTTAGTGATGGGATTCCCAGTATTCTGGCAGCTAGGCTTACACCTCCTCTTAAGAGATTAAGGAGTTCCTCTTCAGGGAAGTGCCTCACCCAAGTGAAAAGAAATACAGATACTGATATTTCAGTAGCTCTTGATAAAATAACTTGGCTGCCATATTTACAGTGAAGATTACTGTTCTCAAGTCCCATGTATGAAAACAGAACTTCCAGTCAGCAATCATGAATTTTTAAGAACAGATAGTAGAGGATTACCAGACATCTGAGGAACGCCCTTAACAGAGACCAGCTCACAAAATGGGGAATGGGAGACTGTTGGAAGAAGCAGATGTTTTAAACTCCAAGGTGGGGAGGGGCTGTTTTCAACAATATCTTCAGAAAGGATGAGACACTTCATTGTTTCCACAAAATATAAACAAAACACCATAAAGAAGAAACAGATGTAAGACAGTTCTATTAGTAAACATTTGGTAGCAGAAATGAAGGAATCAATAGATATGTAGGAAATGTAGCCGAATTTTCCAGGAAGTAAAACGAGAGACACAAAAAATAAGAGGAATTTAGAGAAAGCAATCCATCTCAGGGTGTCCAGTGTCCAAATAATAGAATTTTCAGAAAGATAAAGCAGAGTAGATGGGAAGAAGCTAGAATCAAGTGGGATTGTGTGGGTCAGTACCCAGTCCCACCTGATTCTTGCTCCCCATTTACCCCACTTTTTCCACCCTCACATAGTATTGGACTTTGTAAACTCTGCAAGTATAACTTTTATATTTAAAAATATTTTAAAAATAAATATATTTTAAAATAATAACTTTTATATTTAAAATATTATATATTTTAAAATGTAATTTTTTTGCTTACTGAAAATACTCTTGGCTAAAAACATTTTAGCAAGCAAAAAATAATTACATGCCAAGATTAAAAATATGTATTTGAGTTTCGGTTGAAGACCGATAAAATTAAAAGTGGGAAGGAAAAAATACCATTTAGATGTTTTAAAGTACTAAATACTTATTTCAGGAAAATTACTTCAATTGCCATAGTTAGGTAAATTGAGGAACAATTTTCTCTTAGAAATGGCAACAGCATAGCAGTGGCATGGATCGCGGAAGAAGTGACTGCTATGTGAGTTTGTAATCAAGCATCTTGCCAAGGCAAACAGTTTCCTCCCTGATGATTTTCTATTGGGAAGCAAGAAGTAGTCATGATTTGCCTTAATTATAGCAAGGCTTTTAAAAATTGTGTGAAATTCCTAATAATTTTTTTATTCTAGATGTATGTATTGAGTGTCTGTTATCTGGCAAGCATTGTAGTTTATTTATATTGACTCGTTTAATCCTCAGAACAACCCTATAAAGGTAGGTCTTGTTGTCATTCCTGTTTTACAGATGAAGAAACTGAGGTGTAGACAAGTTAGGTAACTTGTGCAGGGTTACTCAGCTGGCAAACAGAAAAGGCTAGGTTTTAAATCATGGTAGTCTGGTTATAGAAGACATATCCTTAATTTAATTCACTACTATTCTGCTTGTTAAATAAGGAACCCCAGACATATAAGGTTAAGTAAATTGCCCACATTCCCATAACTAGTTATTTTAGAAGCAATGAATTTTGTTGTAAGGCTTCCGTCAGCCATTGAATGCTTAAGAGCTCATCTAGGCCAGTCCACTCATTGATTGAATAACCGGATCTAAGGGCTGAGCAGGTAGAAGAACCAGTTGCTCCACAGTGACCAGTCTTGTGCATGTTAGAGACACCTGGTGTCATTTTTCCTCACCTACATTCTCATCCTGGAAGTGTTTATTCTTGGTGATATTTAATGTGTGCTGAAACTCTTAGGATAGCAACCGAGGAATTCTAGGAAACTAGCTTCATTCACAGTTGTGGAATATAGCCATCACCGAAATAAATATAAAGAAATATATCAGAGTTTTTTATTTTATGTTTAGCCCTGTTTTATGTGGTTTGTGGGGAACATTATATTTTGATGCATGTAGCAGGAACTTAAATATTTGCCTTTAATCAATGATGTGTAGCACACGACAGTGTTTCTTAATGTTCAAGATTAAGAAATTACTTTCAGATACAAATGCTACAAATTTGGTTGGTTTGTTTATTTTTCCTAGTTCAACTTTGTGGGAAAACTTTTGGGTCCACGTGGCAATTCTCTGAAGCGTTTACAAGAAGAAACTTTGACAAAAATGTCCATCCTTGGAAAAGGTTCCATGAGAGACAAGGCCAAGGTAATATTAATTATAGAAAATGGCTACCTTGTGAGTCATGTTCTATTATATACTCTTATATTATTCATTATATTCATACATAATTACATAAGGTGATATATTTGTGATACTGTTTAGAAAATTGAGTCACTCTGGTCTTCTTCAGAATATGTAGTATCTTAAACCTGTATCTATAACCTTCATAGTCATACATTAAATAAAAGCATAATACTTAAAGTTTTGATTGCATTTGTAATATGTCACCTTATAGGAAGTAAGTTAATAAAATTATCATGAAAAGAGATAAAAGCTATGTATAGTCTCATCCATTACTCTTTGCACTTTAGATTAGTGTTTTGGAATCTTTCTGTGCAGACATTTCTTGTAGTTGAGCTTATAATGTATATACTTTTATTTCTTCTTTTTGTCATTTATTTGATATTATATGCATTTTAGAATGTTATTAAAATTGACTTTTAAGTGTTTTAATGATTACTTATTGTTCTAACACATAATTGTTTTACTTAGATGTATTCACATTAATAGTCATTTTTTAAACCAGCTAAATATATACTGTTATTTTTATTGATCGTTTTCTTAAATATGCCAATTCTGAAAGGAAATTTCACATATCATAATGTGTGTCACTTATATTGTTTTCTAATGAGACATGTTGTTTTCTCATTATTAAAAGATTTATATTACTGAGAACCAAATCCACATTGAGCAATTACATACCGCGAAATGTTGAATAATTATATTTTAAACAGAGGTTTATTAGACACAATGCAACATCCTCACACAAAAAGCCATCTAAATAATAGCTTTTATAATAAAAATGGCCAGTATTTGTTTATTGAGCTGCCACTGTGAGTCAGGCACTGTCTGAAACATTTTACATGCATTCCTTCATGTTATCCTTGGTAAAATGATGGGAGATAATATTTGCCTTACTTTACATGTAAGGAAACTGAGATTCAGAGAGCTTGAGTGTATTATCTGGGTTAATTTGATAATTTTTTGTTGTTTTGGGTTAACAATTTAATAAAACCATGGTTTTCTGACACCAGCACCCATATATTTTTGACAGCATTGGAAAACTCGACATCTATCAGATTTATATGGGATACTGTTTTAAAATATAGATGCCCATACCTCTACTTGTTTAGGGTAGAACCTCAAAATGAATTTTCAGTAGGTGTTTGAAATGATTCCAGTGCATGGCCTGGTTTTTTTAATTACTTACTAAACATTGCTGTCTTACATTATGACTTTAATCCCCTGACTCATCTATTCTGGTAGTGGGAGAAAATGAAAACATGTATTTGATCAGTTGGTCAGAAATTACATGTATTTTGCAGGAAAGCACTCTACCCTTGCTGATATCTTAGTTCATGCTCTAATGAGGCCATCTGTTAATGGGCTGAGTGATATGAGCAGTGAAACCCACAACCAGGAATCCACTCTCCTACTTATTTAGTTTGTTGTTAAGGGGTTGATCAAAACCACTGCTTGGTCAGAAGCAGTGTTTTGTAGCATACAGTGGTAGTAATCAGAGCATCCACCAATAATTTTACAGGTAGAAGGGAAAGAAGGAAGGCACATCTTTATCTGGATTGTATGCCCAAGTTAACAGCAAGGGCCTGACTATCCGTATAATGAAAGGGATCCTAAATATTATCAGCTTGGTGTCAGGGCTTGGTGGACCTTCCAGATTATATTGTATATCAAGGCTCTCTGCTGTTGGTATGTTGCGCACTCAGCATGTCAATAGCTGGCCATCTTTTTTGAGGGGGGGGTCTGTGTTGTGAAGTAATGCATGACTTCCTTCCCGGTTGCTGTGGCCATTTTGCTGATGAGCACCTTGAGTTGCATGGAGGCTGCTGGGGAATGAGGTGCTCTAGCATATGCTGTAACGGATCCTCTGGACAGCCTGGCTGAGTGCCTGCTTTGCATTTGCATGGGACACCCTGTTTTTACACTCTTGGCTGTCTTTTCCAGACCATTTATCACCCATTCCTTGATAACTTTCCTTCCTATTTCTTTGGGAATCAATATGGGGATTCTGCAAGTGGCTGAATGTGTATGTTCCACCCAGACTCTTGGGAACCAGGGAGGGGAGTAGCATACATTGTGGATTTACAATCCACTGAACCCACTGTGAGTGGACTGGGACCAGAAGTTTCCTTTGCCTTCTGATCCCATAAGCCCCACTCTCCTTGGTGGCCCTCAGTGGAGTGGCATTAGGTCAGAATCAGTTCTGTTAATTCTCAAATGGTCTAAGTGTTTCATCTCCTCAGTGTAAAGTCACTCTAGTAAAATGTCCCAGATCCTTCCTAGGATTTGAGATTCACAGAATTTGAATATATTATCTGGGTTAATTAGAGAAATTCATTGTTTTGGGAGGACTAGAAGGAAGCTCGCACACTGGGAGATACCATAGTTACTGTATGCAAACAGCCCTTTTCCCTGGGTTTAACATAGCTGCCTTATTCTCTGTATGTTTGGTTAAGCAGAGATTAATCATGGGCTAGGAGATGATAAGGAGGAGACCAGGAGATGATGATGATGAGGAGGAGGAGGAGGAGGAGGGGAGGAGGAGGAGGAGGAGGAGTAAAGCATGAGAATTGTCATCTCCTTTCAAGGAACTACCTCAGCTGTTTAAGCAGCACGGGAAAAGCCTCACCAGACAAGACAGGCTTTTGCTGTGTGAAGGCTCTGTGGCATTTTAGTATTTGAGTACTCAAAATTGTTTGAATCCTCTCAAATGTCAATTTATTCTCAGGTTTAATTTGCTCTTAGGTTTTCGCTGTATCCAGACACTGTCCTGAGTCTCACATAAGAGACAGTTGGGCACCTGCATTGTTATTCAGCCGCACACAGACTCAAACTTTGCATCTGTTTGTTGGTCCCATCAACCTGTGTCTGCAAGCATTGCAACTTAGCCTACTCCTGGCTCGTTGGGCTTGAACTGATAACATAAATTCCCAAGTCTGTCATTTTCTTCTCTAAACTCTTTTCCACCGGCCTTGTCTACCTCTTGCCCACCTGTACCTTCCTCCCCATTTTTTGCTCATACTGTGCTGTAACCTCTGTCACATGATCCATCAGTCATTCTTTCTAAAGCATTTTACTGAAAGTGACCACAGGTGATCATTTAAGTAACAGGTTTGCAACTTAAATGGATACTGGCTGGGCGCTATGCCTCACGCCTGTACTCCTAGCACTTAGGGAGGCCAAAGCAGGTGAATCAGCTGAGGTCAGGAGTTTGAGACCATCCTGGCCAACATGGTGAAACCTTGTCTCTACTAAAAATAAAAAAAATTAGCCAGATGTGATGGTTGTAATCCATGTGATGATGCCTGTAATCCCAGCTACTCCAAAGGCTGAGACAGGAGAATCACTCAACCCGGGAGGCAGAGGTTGCAGTGTGCCAAGATCAAGCCAGTGCACTCCAATCTAGGCGACAGAGTGAGACTCTGTCTCAAAAAAAAAAAAAAAAAAATGGATACTACTAGTATCCCTGTATTATATTATAATCTGCTATATTATAATCAGCCCATCACTGCCTGAATTCTTAAATATTGATTTCAGTTGATCCTTTTTTCTAGTTTAATTTTAATTTTCAGAAGTTATCAGTTAATAATATGTCCATTTATAAAGAGATTCCCATTACTTTGTGTTATAATCTCATCCTTTTAGATTTTAAAAGTGTTCACTATTTAAAGTCTAATGTGAATATAATTTATTTTCTTCATTTATTTGCTACATTGATGAAATTATGGGAGTCATTACTGATGTATATCATCTGGTTACATGGCATAATAATCATGACAATGCTCTGGTCTCTTGAGCCTTCAGTTTATTCCAAACATCATGCTAGATGTTTTGCCCACATCATCTATACTGTACAATAATAGAATAAATAAACTATAGTTATATAATAATCATTACTACATTTATTATTTACTGAGTGCTTATTATGTGCAAGGCTTAATCCTAAAGATGTTGTGTCTGTTAACTCTTTAGTACTATAACAGCCTTGAGATAAGTACTATACTATTATTTTCCCCACTTAACAATCACCCCTTTAAGATGAGGGTAATGTAACCTGCCCAAGTCATACAAATAATGTTGGGTTTGGGATTTAATGCAGAATTTCAACATCTGTGTTTTTCTCCAAATAACACATTGCCTTTCATCATTAATCTATAGAATAGTTTGGTAATAACTCCTTGCTCTGGAATTGTACCATGGCTACAGCTACGATAAGAAATCCTCTCTGTTGCAACTTAAGTTTTTGATAGAAATAAAAATGCTTGAATAAGAATGAACAATTATAATCACTCATTAAAATCATTATTTTGGTATTCTATTAGAAAGGGATAAATGTTTGTTTCAATAATTTGTGCTTTCAGAGGTGAATTGCTGTACACAGAATACTTTTTTTTTTTTTTTTGAGACGGAGTCTTGCTCTGTTGCCAGGCTGGAGTGCTGTGGCATGATCAACTCATTGCAACCTCCACCTCCTGGTTTTAATTAATCCTCCTGCCTCAGCCTCCCGAGTACCTGGGATTACAGGTGTGCGCCACCACACCCAGCTTATTTCTATATATTTAGTAGAGATGGGGTTTCACCACGTTGGCTAGGATAGTCTAGATTTCCTGACCTTGTGATCTGCCCACCTCAGCTTCCCAAAGTGATGGGCTTACAGGCATGAGCCTTTGTGCCCGGCGAGAATCCAATTTTTAAAACTTGAGCAATGAGAGAGATTCAGATCAAATAGTTGAAATGTTCTGATTATAATAATGAAGAGTTGGTATAATGTTTTATGGTCAAGACAAATTTCAAAGGGAATTTATAGAATGTTATGGGAGCTTATATTTACATATATTCTCGTATATTTTTTCATTCCTTTTCTGGCCTGTGGGTAACCCCCAACATGGGCACCAAGGAAGGACAGCTGTGCAGACCCCAGGCACAATTAGTACCTGAAGTATAACTTACTGCTTACTTATCTCTATCTTATATATATAATCATACTTAGTTCCATATAATCTCTCTATATAATCATATAAGGGATTGTAGTCAGAGCTGTACAGGCACATTTAGTGCTGATTTATTTAATCCTCTATATAACCATGTAGTAGTCTGTAGTAGGAGGGATGCCTAGAGCAGTCACAGAACAGAAGCAAGTACATGGGAAAACAGCCAGACCAGGACAAGAATCAATGACCCAAGTGATAGTACCCCTGCCTGAAAGGGCATGTCCTATATGGCAGGTCAGGACCTAGACGGCACCACTCAGTATCTGCTGCATGGCCAGCTTAGAGCAAGAGTTATTTCTCCTGAAACGGAGTTGCAGTACCTTATATCCAGTTCTTGTGGAAAGCAGGCCTCAGGCCTGAGATCCTGTGAATAACCGAGGGAGAAGAACCCCTCTGGTATAATCACACCACGTTTTTGGACACCATGTCAGCTTTTCTCACTACTGTGCTGGCTAATCATCCTCCTATAAAATATCTTAGAGAAGAGCACATTCTGCCAGCTCCCACTGCATTGGTTTACAGCATCCTTCTATAGGAATCCTTTGAAGTCTCCAGCCCCCAGATAAGAAGTGTTGGGCACGGCACTTGTGGCTCACCTCCTTGCCTTGGTGACCTAATGGGGGTAGACCACCTTTTTGTACACAACTTTTTACTACTGTGCACGGCACAGCCTCCTACTGCACACGGCCCACCTGTCTGACTAGGTGACCTAATGGCATGGCCCCCTTGCTTGCTACCCACGTGATTATGTATGCCCTATCATTAAACCTGTAGATGACCTCACTCCCGACCCTTCCCCCTGTCTTGTACCTAATAAATACAGATGCTTCTGGACTTTCAGGGCCTTGCCTGTCTCTGCTTGTAAGTGGCGTGGCTCCCTGAGCCCAGCTTTCTTTTCCAGTCCTCTGTGACTGTCTCTTTATTTCTTGGATCCAGTGCCTCAGCACAGCGAAAGGGGCACCCCATGACCCTGTAGGGCTGTGACCCTACATTGGCCTACTTTCTATTAATGTGAAGGAAGCTAGCATGTATTGAGTGCCTACTATATGTTAGGCAGTGTACTAGGTAGTATATAGACTGCCTCCTTTCACCAGGCATTTATATAAAGCTGTCCCTTGTGTTCTCAGTAGTTCTACATTAATATACACGTGCTACTAATAAACTGTTTTTGCAAATTAAGTATTGGATTACATATAGTCTGTCGAAACTCACATGACTAGTAACTGGCATAGCTGAGATGAAAATATAGCTGACTAAATCCCATGCCCATTTCTTGCTCTGTGTCTTTCTTTTCTTTGTAAGAGTTCAAATTAGTCAAGTAACAGAAGTTGAATCTTGCAAGGGTGAAGTCAGTGGTTACGTACCTCTAGCATTTCATCATTGGCCTCTTGCCTAATTGTCAACTTAAAAGGTGGTATTGCCAGGGAGTCTCTTGGTTATGGGATAGCCTTTTTAAAAGACTAGAAAGATTTCTTATCTTTTGGGAATTAGTCTCAGATTCTGTTAATCTTAATCTGTCTTATTTTAACATTGGAAACAAAGACTAATGGAATACCCAGATTCTGAAAAATCAGGACCTAAAATTGAAGGTTAGTTAGGAAAAGACAAAGGAGCAAAATTAGTAGTTCCTTAATGATCTGTTTTTTCTTCTTTTAGTTTTCCTCCTGAATTTCGTTATGTAAACAAAGATTAAAAACTTGTCATAATTATGTAAAATAATGTAATAAAATCTTTCATTTTGTTTTATTCACTGTTTTATTCTCAGATAGAATATAGTGCCTGGCATGTCGAAATGGTTTTTAAATGAATATGTGAACAAGCAAATTGACATAGCATTGAATGAATGTTTAATCATTCATTCAACAAATCTTTGTTGAACATCTGTATACCAAACACTTTTCAAGACATGGAAAATGCATCACTAAGCAAGGCAGTCACAGTGTCTGCTCCGTGGTAATCACTTTCCACTAAGGGAAAATAGAAAATAGACATGTTTTTTAAAATAAGGTATTTCACATAGTGATAAGTGCCTTGTACTAGCATCACAGACACACAATAGCCAGTGTAGAAGTGAGCACATGAGCTCAGCCAGGTTGAAAGGCACAGAGGAAGCGTGTACAGTGGCTGCTGAGGGATGAGTAAAGGAGACTGAAGAACATGAAGGCAACCTAGCAGCAGAAGTGAGCAGATGATGGGGCTCCTACCTGCCAACATCTGGAGGGGGATGTTATTCCAGCAGCAGTAGGAAGCCTCTGGACTGTGTAAAAGCCAGGGAAGGTCAGGATCACATTTATAGCTTAAACCATCTTTGTTAGAGTGGTGTCTGCTGTCACGTGAATTTTCTATGACAACCATGTGCCAAATGGATTGTTTTTATTTTTGGGGGGTAGTTTTTATTTATATATATATTTTTTCATTTCTTATGATTAGACGTTTTTAAATGTTATTATTTTTTTCTTTTTTCTAGGAAGAAGAGTTGAGGAAAAGTGGAGAAGCAAAGTACTTCCATCTCAATGATGATCTCCATGTTCTCATTGAAGTGTTTGCCCCACCTGCAGAAGCTTATGCCAGGATGGGGCATGCTTTGGAAGAAATCAAAAAGTTCCTCATCCCTGTTAGTACAGTTGTTCTTGATAGTTAATTTGTACTTTAAAGTCCTTTGTTTACTTTAATCCTTGATAATTCTTGTCTGTAACTGTTATTTACATGGCTCCTTATCTGCTAAAAAGCTTTATGGACATCACCTCAAGTAGACCTTACAGTGTCCCTGTGAATTACCTGTCATTGTTCCTTCTTTATATATGAGGTGTTGGAATTTTAGGGAGATTAAATAATAGGGCCAAGGTTACATGGCTAAAAACTTGCATAGCACAGTCACTAGTTTGGGTTTTGAAACCCTAAGTCCTATGATTTTATGTGACACTTCACGATTTTTTGGTTCACCAACACAAAACCATTAGGGCCTTCTGTGTGCCATGCACTGTGCTTGGCGTTGGCATACGGACTTGAATAAAAGTAGTCCCTGCCCTCATTTAGTATAATATAAGATGTAATTTAGAGGAAAAGAGAAGTATCAACAGACATTTTAGTACAGCATGATAAATACAATAACAGACATAACCATAATGAGCACAGAGGGGATAGGGCTATTTAGCTTCTGCCAAGTATTTTGGATGTTTTGTTAAAGATTGACAGCCTGTTTTAACCCTTTTAAACACCTTGACATTGCTAAGGCTGTGACAATTTAAAGGGAATACATTTCTACCTCTGTTAACAAATGTCGATTTAAGTCTTTTGTGTGATTTGTATGCTCTTGATAAAAGGACTTTTTATGTCATTTGCATGCTCTTGATAAAAAGAATCATAAAGCATTCAACACTTTGGCTCTGCAGACAATTTATTTTATAGAAGCTGACACATCTGCCAAATAGCTCTCTGGGATAAGACTATCTTTAGTCATCCCAGGCTAGTTTGGTGGATTGACTTACATACTACAGCACATGTATTATGATTATATTATCTGTGAGGAAAACAATGATTATATTTATAGGGAAAGGATATTTAAATCACTATTGCTTTTAAAAAGCCAGGACATGGAATTGCATTAAATATGTAATAACCTGGGAACAGAAATAGCTAGTATTTTCTTTAGTTCCCACAAGCAAATGTGACAATCCATTTCTTCATTTAGTTTAAAAACAAAATTTCTAAGGGCTTACTATGTGATAGGCACGTGTGGACTAATAAAAGACATGATCTCTCATGGAGTTTAATAGAAAAGTCAGATGTGAATCAGTTTTTCATATAAATGAGTACAAAATTGAAACTATGGCAAGACCACAGCTAAAGGGAGGTGTATGTTTTGGTGAGCATGCAGTGTGGACCAGGCAGTGTGGATCCAGCCAGGTGAGACAGATTCTGTTTTTCCAAAGATGGCTGCAGTAGCACCTTTTATCCCATGACCTTTACAGTCCTTCATCCAGAGGTAGAAACTAATTTCCCTCATACCAAATCTGGACTGGCCAAAAGCATCTTCGCCGAATGAAGGTCACTAAGATTTTCAACTGTTTTCTTTTAAATGTTTTTTAGTATTCTTTCACTTAAAATCCATTTTGAGTTAATTTGTATATTTGAGGTTAGTCTCTAAATTGATTTTTTTCTAGATGGATATCCAGCTTTCCTAGCACCTTATGTTGAGAAGACAATTATTTCCTCATTCAGTACCTTAATACCATGTTGAAAATTTACTAAACATAAATATATGGTTTATTTCTGCATTCTTAAATTCTTTTTCATTGATTTATATGCCTAGTCTTCATACTAGTAGTGTGCTCTTAATTACTTTAGCCTTAAGTAAATCTGGAAATCTAGGTTGTATAAATCTTCCAACTTTGTTGTTTTTCAAACTTTTTTTTTTTTAGCTTTTCTGGTTTCTTAGCATTTTCATTTATGTTTTAGGATGAGCATCTTAATTTCTGTAAAACAAAACAAAGCTGGCTAGGATTCGATAGATATTATATTAAATTTGTAGATCAGTTTGGGGATAATTTTCACTTTAACAATTTTGAGTTTTCCAATCCATGAACAGAGATGTTTCTTCACTTTTTAAAAAGGATAAATTTTTAAAATTTTCCTAACAGCGTTATATAGTGTTCAGGGCGTCAGACTTTTCCTTTTCTTTTGCAAAATTTACTTGTATATATTGTATACTTCTTGATACTATTGTGAGTGCAGCTGTTGAAATTTTATTTTTAGATGGTTACTAGTGTATAAAAATACAATTGATTTTTATATATTGATTTAGTATCTCATGATCTTGCCGAATGTGTTTATTAGTTGCAGTGTGGTGTTTTTTAATAGAATCGTTACAATGATTAAGTGGAATCCTAATTAGTGAAATACAGGAGCATGTCATCTATGAATAATGATAATTTTACTAGTTCCTTTTCAATATGGATGCCTTTAATTTTTTAAAATGTAACGTTGTTGTTATTTTCTGTTGTGTTCCGTTCCTTATTACACTGACTAGAACCATCAATGCAGTTGTTGCTAAAATTAGGAGGAAAGCATTCAGTCTTGCACCATTGGCTATAGGCTTTTATATTGCTGTCCTTCGTCATGTTGAATTTTTTTTATATTTCTAATTGGTGAGAGTTTTTATCATGAATATGTGTATAAATATGGATATTGAATTTTGCAAGTCATTTTCCACCTGAGATTATTGTGTGGTATTCGTCTCATTTATTTTGTTAATAACAGTGTATTACATTAGTTGATTTTCGGATGTGAAGCCAAATTTGCATTCTGAGGATAAATCCCACTTGATGATGGCATATAGTCTTCTTTATAGTCACTAGGTATGGTTTACTAATAGTTTGTTAAGGATTTTTGCATCTGTAATTATGAGGGATATTGCTTTGTAGCACAGTATTTTTCTGGAGTCTTTTATATTAACTTACAGTATTTCTGGTGACCTTCATTTTTTCCTGTGGATAGAGTTGCCATATGGTATTATTTCTTTTCAGCCTGAAGGTTTTTCTTTAAACTTTTCTGTAACCTAGGTCTGCTAGCAAAAAGTGTTTTGTTCTTCTGGGAATGCCTTTATTTCACTTACATACTAAAATATAGGTTATATAATTATTGGTTGATAGTTTTTGGTTTTTGTTTCTCCAGCACTTTGAATACGCTACTCTGCCACCTTCTGACCTCCGTTACTTTTGATGAGGAGAGTCATTAATCATTTTACTGTTTTCCTGTATATAATCTGTTGTTTTTGCTTGCTGCTGTCAAGGCTTTTTCTGTTTCTGGTTTTCAGCAGTTTGGCTGTGATGTACATGTTTATCCTGTTTGTTGGCTAAGCTTTGTGCATCTATCAATTTATGTTTTTCATTAAACGTGAAAAGTTTTCAGCTATTTAAACTTTTTCTGCCTTTCTCCCCCCAACACACCCCCTTATTCCAGTTACATGCATGTTGATACATATCGGCAGTGTTCCCTGGATTTCTGAGACTCATTTTTTTCATCCTTTTTTCTCTGTGTACCTTAGACTGGGTGAGTTTACTGGACCAATCTTCAAGTTAACTAATTCTTCTGTGAGCTCATACCTGCTGTTGAACTCCTCTAGTGAATTTTTCATTGCAGATAATATGCTTTTTAATTTTTCTTTTTTTGCAAGTCCAACATCTGGGCCCTCTCCAAGACAGTTTCTTTGTACTGCTTTTCTCCCCCTGAGTATGGGTCATGTTTTCCTGTTTCTCTGCATGGTTCTTAGTTTTTGTTGAAAACTATTTTGGATAACATATTATAGCAAACCTATAATTGGATTTATTTTCTTCCCAGAGGGGTTATTTTTGTTGAGGTGATTTTTTTTTTTAAATAATTTAGTTGGACTAAATTTGCAGTCTGTCTTCCTCATAGTTACAGCTAATAATGTCTCTTTTAACATGTTTTTTCTTGGTTTTATTTTTAAACCTGGCCTGCTAGAGATGTTGTCTGTGTCAGCACTGCTTAGTGGACAGCCGGGGGAGCTTGTACTCAGATACCTCTGTTAGGGAGGTTTTCATCCTCTGATGGTGGAGCTGTGTGTGTACACAGGGGAGTGGATCCAAAGAAGACTCTCATCCTGTCTGCCCTGGCTTTTCCCTTCCTCCAGGATTCCTCCTGTCTCCCCTGCATATATGTGCACTCGCCTTCAGGAGAGGATGTATGGAGAGCTTTTTCCCACTCTCTTGCTGTCCATGCACATAGCCTTCTATCCAGCCAGAGGTGTGTGGCGAGCTTCTCAAGGCTGTCTTATTTCCTGAATCTTGGTCCAATTTCTGTCTAGCCTGATGGTCAGTTTCTTGATGCCACCCAAGATGGCAATACTAGGTGCATCCCTAGAGAAGAAGGCCAGACTCCATTATTCTTACCTGAAAGGTAGCACTTTTAAATGAATAAATATATTGTATTTTCAGTTTAGTATTTTGACCTTTAGTCAGTTTTCAGGCTCCTAAAATGGTTACTTTTAACCATTTTTCAGTTTTTATTTTGCTTTTTATGGCAGAGGCTTTGCTGAGCTCCTCCCTTAGCTGTACCAGAAGTCACATGTCATATCAGTTTAACTTACGTGATTTTGGACATTGTTCCTATGAGAATATGTAGTTTTACTTCATTCTTTTTAATGTCTGTATAATATTTCATTATATACATGTTAAGGAGTTTATTTAATTGGTCCTCAAATAATGAACATTAAGGTTATTTTTTATAGGTCACAATAGATACAGTGATCCTAAGATTAACCTCAGACATAAATATTGGCCTATTTTGGCAAATATATCTGTAGAGTAAATTTCTAACAGAGAGCCCACTGAATTTCGTTGAGTTTATTTTAATGATTTCATTTAAAAACATTTTCTCCATTCTTCAAGCTAAAATACATTTGAATAGATTCTAAGCTCACTGGATAGTCAAGTCCTGCTTACACATACTTAATCAAAATTTTAATTGCATTTCCTCTCTTTACAATTCATAATGGTGTTAATGTTATAACAGTTTCACTTTTCAGACAGGGAGTTAAAATGATAATTTAAAATGTAAAATTACAATAATAAGTTCATTTGTAAGCTACTATGG